AGAAAAGGGAGGCGCCGGCTGGCCCAAAGGGTTTTCCAGCAAGCTGAATGACCCTGGTCCTGCAGGTCACTGCTGTCCCTGAAGAAGACCTACAAGGCCAGGGCCTCGTCCAATTGTCATCTTGACACAGGTCGCATGGTGTAGGCAGGGCCGGATTTACACTCTGCTGCCCCAAGGCCAGGTTCCTTAATGTGCCCCCCTACCAGCTGCCCCTCTACTCCGTGCTGCCCCAAGGCCGGGCCTTGGTTGGCCTTGTGGGAAATCCGGCCATGGGTGTAGGTACATCAAGGGTCAGCTATGTATAAGAGGTCCGGGCAATGTGTCCTCTCCATCTACTGAGGACTGCCGGTAAATAGGTCATGTGATGAAATACATTTTTGCAATTGTAGCAAAAAAAAATAAATACAAAAATGTAAACAATATAAAAAAACAGAAAAATTGGATTTCCAACCCAAAAGGGTTATTTTTTTTTAAATATTTTTATACCAGGGCTAATTTTATTTTCTCTCTAGGTAGCCCTAAAATGTTACCATCTTTTTTTTTTAAAAAAAAAGACTTATTGGGCTACCCGAGTACCCACTTTTATAGAACCAAGACAAGGTAGGGAGATATTTAAGATTTAGGTCACTTGAAATATTACTGAATCTTCCTTTTTTTTTCTTCATTTTATGGTTACCGTGTCCCCAAATATATTTAATTTTATATTAAAAAAAGAGAAAAAAAGCAAGCAATGCATATAAAAATCTTTATGGGATTTCTAAGGAGAAAACATAGCAGAAGCCGTTTGCTTGCGGGCTCTCTCTCTCTAATTGAAAATCAAATCGGTCTCTGCCTGAACAGGGCGGGCAATGAAGAGGAAGCATGGGCAGCAGGAATCGTTTCTCTTAAATCAGTGCATATTAAGTTTCGGCAACAGGGTTCTTTTGTCTCAACTGAGCAGCTAAGAACAGACGGGTAAACGTGAAAATGAACCGAGAGCTCCATCTGCTGGCTGATGCAATAAAAATTAAAAGGAGAACTATGAGGTGAGTGAAAAATCGCTGATCCTCATAGTTCTAGCCGACCTGTGACAATGAAACTGTCACGCGACAGCTCGATAGATCAGGAAGTGAGAGAAACCATATCGGCGCTCGCTCACTTCTCGATAGTCTCCCTGCAGAGAGCCGTGACTGTCACTTATGGCTCCCTGCAGGGATTCCCCCCCTCCCCGATCCTCCAGCGCTGACTGGCGGAACGGACGGGGGAGGGGGCGGGTACAGCTGGCTCTGCCTCTAGATAGGCAGAGCCAGCTGTCACTCACGCAGCTGGGTGAATCTCAACAGCAGTGTCGGGATCCGTCCCGGCTCCAGCGCTCTCAGTATACCGCGAGCTGCAGCTTTCTATATACTGAGCTTTGGGTGACGGGAGGACGCTAGTTTACGTCCTCCCGTTACCCTTAGGAGAACTATGGGGAAAAACACTGACCCCGTAGTTCTCCTATAAACGATGTACTTGAATTTTTTCTATTTTCTAGACAATTTCCCCCCCCCCGCTTAAAAAATCCCGTACCTCCACGCTTGTAGGATCATGTGACTCTCATACCCCTCCCACTTACGTGACGGCAATGGAGCTTCATGATTATTTAATACAGGATTTATATAGCGCCAACAGTTTGCGCAGCGCCACACAGCTACCTACTCACGTATCACTGGCCGCTCCCTTTTAGAGTGTAAGCCCTCAGGGGCAGGGCCCTCCTTACCATCTTGTCTTGAATTGTATGGCAATTGTAATGTCTTCCTTATATTGTAAAGCGCTGCGCAAACTGTTGGCGCTATATACATCCTGTATAATAATAAAGTTCCATTGCGGTCACGTAAGTGGGAGGGGAATAAGAGTCACATGGTCCTACAAGCGTGGAGGTGGGGGATTTTTTAAGCAGTGGGAGGGGAGGGGAAAGGAATTAGCCCATCTCTGCCACAGGAGGGTAGGGAAGAGAGTCCTCGGCCCTGAGTAAACTCTGAGCTTGCAGGGGGCTCCTTATCACTCAGCAGCTGAACAAATAAAAGTATGTGCCACTTCAGAGCGGGGATTGAAGAGAACCTGTTCTTCGCCCATGCTATGACAAAATACAGGTTTGCTTTAGGAGGACCACCCCAAACTACTCTGGGGAAAGCACACACCACTGGAATCTACAGGTTCGCTTTAGGACCACCGCAAACTACTCTGGGGAAATCCCACCACTGGAATCCACAGGTTCGCTTTAGGAGGACCACCACAAACTACTCTGGGGAAATCCCACCACTGGAATACACAGGTTCGCTTTAGGAGGACCACCACAGACTACTCGGGGAAAGCACACCACTGGTAGATATATATGAGGAATGATTGGGTGATTCTATGCACCAGTGTCCTCCTAAAACCAAAAAATTAGGTCAGGTAACATACATTTTTGTAAAGATAATAATCAATAAAACCCACCTATAGCCAAAACTTTGTTTTTTTGTTATGTTATTTTTGGATAGAACAGAGAAGAGTTAGAACCTCGGTCATGTTTTAAATGCCCTCGGCCTCCACGGAGGTTTATTTTCTCTTCCTGTTTGGACACCCGTCACCAGGAAGTGAAGTGAGGACAATTTGGACAGCCATAAAATCCTGAAAGGACTTCTAAACCTTTCCGATTTACCTTGAAAATGTAAATTTTTTTCCTTTGTTCCCGTTGGGATGATTGAAGCTCTTTTTTTGTTGTATTGGACACCCATCAATGAGATGTTCCCTCACTTCCTGCTTTGGCCGACAACCATCAGATAGACAGAAAGTGAGGAAACATCTCCCCACAGAAAGGAAAATGTTGAGTAAGGTTCCAACTCTTCCACACCATCCAAAATTTAAACAAATGAGAAGTTTTGGCCGAAGTTGGGTATTAACAGCAGCAGAGGACAACCCAAGAGAGGTCCATACAACGCGAGCCAAGTAGACGAGGTTCTCGACAGGGAGGAGACAACAGGTGAAGGACAGAGTGGAGAAGACCGAAGAGGCCCGGTGTTATCGGCTCACCCTCTCCGAGCGAGTAGACCTTGAATCCAGACATTTTCTTGCTCAGGATGGATTTTGGCAGGTTCAGGAGGGCGGGGTTGTAGACGGGGAAGTCGTGATAATAATTTTCCAAAATCCATACAGCGACTCGCTGGATACTGTGAGTAGAACAGACAGGGGTGGGTGGGGAGGAGAGACGGTAAATTAACAAGTGTGCCAAGGCCAAGGTGGAGGGGGGGAGGGGAGACACAAGGGGAAAAAACAGGAGGAACATGGGAACAAAGGCAGTGAATCAACTGGACCAACACAATACAGAGATATCTAGCAGAACAAAGATGGCTGCCGAGACAACACATGGTCACCACAGTGGTGGTGAGAAGAACCAAGCCCAAATTTTATTTAAAACTCTTTAGTTCCCTGAATTCGATAATTATAGGCCGGGCTTCTCCTCTGGAATGACTATCCTAAAAATGTTGGCACAATTTATTACATTTTTGTTTTGCCTTCCATTGGACTACCACAAAAAGTTGAGGTAAACAAAATGTACGCAATAATAATGGTGGCAAGAAGTTCTTAAAGTGGATTTAATATTTATTAAAAGGGAACATCTCTGCAATAAATAATAAAAACTGTATATCATTTTAATTTCTGCTACAGTTTTCTCATTTTGTCTCTCATAGTTGAGGTCTACCTATGATGCCAATTACAGGCCTCTCTCATCTTTTTAAGTGGGAGAACTTGCACAATTGGGGGCTGACTAAATACTTTTTTGCCCCACTGTATACACACACACACTTTATAATAATTTTCTACTGCAAATATATATTATTTGGAGTAGAAAATTACTGTAAAAGTTACTATACAGTATATGTAGATTATGTAAATATATATATATACATATGATTTAATAATCATTTTACACACACACTATATATACAAACACACATTATATATCAATATAGATCTATATCTATATCAAAAAAATAAAATTGCAATAATCAAAAAAGAAAAAATTATAAGCCTCCATTACAAAGGTTACACAACAATCACATGGTCTCCTGGTACCAGGAGGACCTTGGTGTACGTTCCAAGTCATTAAAGACTGCAAAGGGTCTATTATCCTATCAGATGGACCTTTATCCGGTATCATGAAGTCAGCAATGCACAACCATAATGTACATCAAAAAGATACTTATATATACACATACACACAATAAAGTCCTCAGATTCCTCCCCCCTCCCGTCACCCAGACATAAGATGTTGTCACTCCCATTCATTGTACTACAAGCTGTGTACTCCGGGAATATCCCCATTAATATTCCATCGCTGGGCTGACAAACAAACATCGTAATGCCGGCAGTTACCATGGGAACAACTGTATACATCCCATGTTCCCAGTAGGAAACAAATCTGCATTAATAAAAAGGCAGATTTGCAAATATCAATTTTTTTTACAAGCAGTTACGATGTTTGCTGACTGCCTGTTTATCAATTTTATAATTAATATTTTTTTTTTTTGTATGATTTTATTTTCATGATATTTTATTTTTTGTATG